AAAGAACACTGTGACTCACCACGGTAAATTCTCTACTGTCACTTCTATTATTGTAAACATACAGAAAGACTTGTCAAAGTAGCTTTCTCATGCGTCATTCATTTTGTCATGCGTGGTGGAGTGGAGACGCCATCGAATTATTACATATTACGTATATTTAAATGTGATACACCTATATGTATATGAATTGCGTCATATGTGTTCAGGGGCTCACATATGACAACATGTGTGGTTAAAATATAACGGTATAATTTTGCACAGTAAAAATTCTACGAAAAAATCTCGCCATGTTTTTTTATTTGCAATAAATTCGAATATTTATTTTATAAAAATGCATTTTAAAAACCAAATCTTCTCCATTTTCAATTTTCACCATAGTTTTTATTAATATAATCTCTTTTAATTGAACATTTTGGCAATTAAATTCTCAATTTTTTCGACCAAAAGAAAAAAAGAGTTGCAGAAAAAATTAGACATATATTTTTTTTTAATTTTTCTGGGCATTTATTTTTTTTATACATAATTGCAATTATGAATAACGAACATATTTCGTTATTATTCATGATCTCGCATGAGTATGAAATGCACAATGAACTTGCACACTCATTGTTTATTGTCACCACAATGCTTTGGTGCTTATCACCATTTGATTTAGTGTGACGTTTTAATTAGCATATTACGCATATTAATTGAGGGTGTTGATTAAAATAAATAGAATTTTTTTCAAATAATAATTTAATCATGAGCGGTAAGCATTTTTGCACCTAATTTCTCGCCACGGCAACTATTCGAACTTATTATTTTATGAAAAAAATATAGGAAATGCAAATCTCGTGGGCGATATTACTCTAAATATTAGCCGAGCTCGAATTTCGTCAACAAAGTGCTGTTTTCGGTCATGCAGTACAGAATGTCCTGATGAATTACATCGTATACCTCGTGCAATTCGTTATGAGATTATGAAAAATAAACGATTTTTCATACCGGAAAAGTCAGTGGCATGCAATTTTCATAGTGATTATTCTGTGTTATCGGAAATTAACATCCCGGTTGAAAATTGTGCTTTTACTGCTGCACAAATTGAAGAGATGGTTGATTTGTTGCGATCAGATCCTAAACAATTGAAAGATGAGGGTCAAGGTAAATAGTAAAATTGATACTGATCTAAATCACTTCTATATGAATGAGTAATTCTACTCCATGTGGATGAAAAAATAAATAGTTTTGGTGGATGAATTTATTAAAGTGGAGTCTTGAAAAGATTTTTTTCTCATTTTTGTTTTTATGGACTTTGCTTACTCTCTAATCTCGTATACCAATTCATATATTCCTGCTCATGATGAATATTAAATACTTTTTTCTGCAGTGTTGAACAAAAATTCAGATGCTGGTGTGAAAGCCGATACCGGCCTGACACGTGAACAGTTCCAAAATCTCTTCCATTGTTTAAACTCGCTTCGAGACTGTTTGAAAAACGACAAAATTGCATCCGACTACCTATACACATATCTCATGAAGCTTCGTACTGGTCGAACGGACGAAGATATTGGGCGAGTTTTTAAAATCACAAGGTGGGCCGTGGGAAAGCGATTAAAATGCGTACGCGAGGCAATGGAATCAGATTTTGTTTACCAAAATGTGAACTGCCTGCTTAGTCGTGAGGAACTGGCAAAATATACAACATTCTTAAGCCAAATGCTGTTTTGTCATGGTGATATCAATCGACCTGTATTGATCCTTGATGGCACGTATGTTTACATTCAAAAGAGCACTAATTATGAAGTACAAAAACAAAGTTACAGTAACCAGAAGAAGCGAAATTTTGTCCGAATTATGAATTGTGTTACAACGGATGGTACGATTCTTTTTGTTCTGGGTCCATATCCAGCGTCTTCAAATGATGCTAAAGTTTTGCAGTCCATCATTCAAAGTACCAATGCTCTTGACAATTTGAATGCCGATGATGTTCTTCTGCTCGATAGAGGTTTTCGTGATTGCGTTAATTTGCTGAAGGAAAAGGGATTTGATGTGCAAATGCCGGCCTTACTTCAAAGATCTTCAAATAAGAAGCAGCTGACAACAAGCGAAGCAAATAGATCCCGCTTCGTAACAGCAAATCGATATGGCGTTGAAACGCGCAATGGACACATCAAAACCATATTCAAATTATTCCAGCATGAATGGAACCCTATTGCGATGCCACATCTCATGACCGATTATCGAATTTGTGCAGCTCTAATTAATGCTTATTGCAAATCTATTGAGTCAAACAAAGGTATGGCGACTGAAATCGGAAGGCGAATGCTGGATCGTTATGAAACACCGAATGAACTATCGAATATTGTCTCCAAGAACGAATTTCAATACAATTTATCGAAATTTAACCAATTTTATGATTTTGAACAACTGCCAGCATTGACACAAACCGACCTAATTCTGATTGCACTGGGTAAATATCAAATTAAACAAGCTGCCTCTTATTGCCAAGAACATTTCAAATCAAATAACTTTCAATTTGCCGTTTTTGAATGTCCCAATAATATTTTGAGAAAATTTTTCGCCAACTTTACTACTGGAGACAAGCAGCTAAAGCTCCTGATGGCCCGCATCAAATCCCGTTTTCGCAGCAATAAGACACATGATGCATATATTTTAATTGATATTCTTGGTCAAGGAGAAAGTGTTGTGCTAGCTTACTGTTGTAGTTGCTACAACGGCCTACGAACTGTCGGCTGTTGCTCGCACGTAATGACCATCATATGGTTTGCTTTGCACATTAAGAAACCATCCAAAATGCATCGACCAGCTGCTTTTTTGGACAACTACTTCGGTGAAGCATCATCTTCCGATTGCGACTCATCAGACGCAGAAGAATAATTAATGTATGAAAATCAATGAAAATATATTCAATAAATATTTATTTTTTCAATTATACATATTGTTTACTATTATTTCTGTTCAATTTTAAGTATTATGAAATTCTAGTATTTTACCCAGACATGGGCGAGGGGACGGGTGTATTTTTTCCAAGGGGTTGTCGTTTTTTCTCAAAATTCTGCTCGACGCCGATTTGAGTTCGTTGGAGTGGAAAACCCTTTTAAATACCACCAGTCTGAGGGTATTTTCTAATTCTCTGTCGATTGACATCATTAGTTTTATATGACTTTATATCTTTTTTTTACAAAATTCAATTCGTGCGAAAATGTGTGATAATATTTGTAAGTTTATATTTATTTTTTATAAGGCGAATTGGATAGTTTGGATGAAACATTTGACACGCAAAATATTTTGTGCATTTCAGGATTAATGTAAATATGTGCAAAATGTTCATCCTAAGGGACTTAATTCAAAATTTTCAACGACTAAATTCTATAATAATATCTAAATTAACTGAATTTTTCAGCAAACGAATGAATTCCTGTGAATTCTACGGCGATTTCATTCAAATATGTGAGATAGTGGTGAATAGTTTCTGCTGGCAATTACTGCAATATTTATATTTTGTGTAAAAAAATTGTAAAAACTTTTTATATTTTTTTAATAAAAATTAATTTTAT